CGGGGCTCCGGCTCGACGTGCAGGAGAAGGAACGGGGTGGTTTTTAGTCAGTAAGAATCTGACACTCGCTCACCCAGGCGGGAGCAGTCAATCGATGATTTTCCCCCCTTAAAAAAACCCATATTATCCAAAATAAGTAAAACAGAGACCCCCCTCCCCAATCCCTGAATCCCCAACGATCCTCAAACTCTTAATCCCCAAAAGGTCAGTAACTTTACTTTTAACGCCTCTGGTCTTCGAGGTGTCCATGGGCGACGCCGATTGCTTACCATCAGGTGATCCGTCTGCTCGTTTACCGGCTTAAGCCATAAAAAAAATGTGCAACAATACCAGTGGGCACGGGGTTCTTCAAGAGGGGAGTGAATAGGTTTCTTAAGGGTCGGCAAGACGCATGTAATGCCCCAAGTGTTGCAAGCGTTCAGGCCATGTGCTTTTTTGCCACCGTCGTGGTATAAAAAAAACCTTAAAAGTTACTTCGATTTCATAGCAGAATAACCCTTTTAATTATTTTATTTACCCATGAATAAAGATGATTTGGGACCAATTAAACATTTATATATTTTGTCGTCGTCTGGCCTATGTTTTCATTCACTTATTGTGTAGTTGTGAGTACACTGTAACTTAGGTAAGTCAAAATCGACTATTCTCTTTAATTTTTTAATCGACCTCCAAAAACAGGACGAGGAATTTTCCTAATAATTTAATTTTCAGTGATTTAAAGACTTGTGTCAAAAGTGTTTTTAGATTTTTCTTATTAAAACCTGGGTGTCGTATACCCGACTAAGGGACTACACATTTGACAGAGACCGGGCAGCAGCGCTCTCTGATAAACCTGAACTGAATAGGGACTTAATCTGTTTTGTGGATTTCAATAAGTAAATAGTGTTACCTGCAAGCTTGTGAAGATTATGGCATACCCTCTTATGTAGAGGAAGCTAATAGTCTAGCAGTAGATAAGTGACTGTCTATTGAAGTTGATGCTAGAACAGTAGCAATGGGCTAATTTCCTAAACTTTAATGTCCGTCTGGTAGATTATTTTAAAACATTAGACACGTATTTTGTCTTTTCTCACAAAATTAAATACTTGCGACGATATAATGATTTGAAATGTCGTATGACGTCACAGCGTGCAACAAAATGTAGCAGTTAGTGACGTATTTACCTCCTACTTCTAAACTTAACTCCATTTTGTTTAAGTATTGTAACTTTCTAATACTTTTTCAGTATCTAACTGACGGACTAATTAGATTTTTAATTTACTTACCCTGGAAACTACCTAATTATGAAAATGTTTAGTGTTCATGAAGTTTCAAATCGTGTCTAATTAGCTATCGATAAATAATTGAGTGTCACACATTTGTGGAGCTCAGAACATCTCATTACTGTAACTATCTCATTGCTGAGAAACACTTCTCACACGGAGAAGGTTTGAGCATTACTCACCACGCTTGCTCAATGCGGGTTGGCGATTTCAAACTTATAATTAGAAATTATAAGCCCAGGTCTCCTCACGATGTTTTCCTTCACCGTTTGTCAGTGGTGTCTAAATAATCTTAGAAAGTACATATAACTCGGCAAAGGCACATTGATATGATAGGTTGCACTTGCTAGATTTCGAACGGATCTTAGTCTTCGGGCTACCATGACTCTTTTGCACGACATGCAATTATTGGGTAGATTAGCAATCAATGAGTGAGATCACTAAATATTACGTTATCATAATATACCTACTATGTATAGTTATGTTACGTCTAAGTAGTATATGTAATATAATTATATAAGTTTATTGTTATGTCATATACATGTAAGTTTATATAGGGATTTATTTTATGTAAGTCTATACTATCCTTTTTTATGCATTTCTGTTGTGTCTTAAATACGCTTGCTTCTTGCATCGACCATTGTTTTTGTCTCTGCATCACCCAAAGGTCTGGCTGGAGGAGAATGCCCTAGGCATTAAGCCCACCTTGTACATTAGTATGTGCATGAAGTCTTTTAAAAAATAAAATAAAAATATAGGTAAACTTTAGTTAGAACTCTCCTCCCCGATCTTCCCAGCAATCCTCAAATCCCTATTCCCCAAAAGGCCGGTAACGCACTTGTAACGCTTTCCAATTTGCCCAATTCGACTGTACTATTTCTTGTTTGTTAGTCGATTTCTCGAAGACGCCTAAACCGATTTTAAAAATTTGTTTTTCTTATTTGATATGGTAATTTTGTCATTTAGCCCCATTATTATCACGCCAGGATCTGATGATGAGATCCCAGGGAAACAGAGGGGAACTTTTAAAAATTAAACGGGCAACTAGTGCAATTGTTAATTTTTTCTTTAAGCATCATATGCTTCTATATCAGTGAGTGTGCTTATAAGTACGTATATACAAATACATGCATAACTTCACGCCTGTCTCCCATGGGGGTAGGCAGAGACTATGGAACGCCAATTACTACGATTCCTACATACCTCTTTCGTTTCATCAACAATCATCAATCTTTTCATGCACGCTCGTCGGTTAAGGGTACTTTTAATTTGGCCCTTCTTTAATATATCGCCAATCTGGTCACTATATGTCCGTCTACGGCGCCTTCTACCGACGGCCCTATTGATATCCACTCTGTATACTTCTTTCGTTACTCTACTTTCATCCATTCTTTCTACGTGTCCAAACCAGCGTAACATGGATTTTCAATCCTTGTCACTACATCATCTTTCAATCCACACCTTTCTCTAATAACACTATGTTTCACTCGATCACTCAATTTTAGTCCACACATACTTCTCAGGGCTCTCATTTCCACCGCATTAATCCTGTAAGTACGTATGACGTACTATAAGTACGTATGACCAATAATAGTTTTTACTTTTTGTTGTTCTTTTTTATACAATACGTAGGTAGGCATAATGTGCTATCTATGTCCAATGTATAATTATGTAGACAATTAAATAATGAATATTGAATCATGTATTGTTTTGTAATTGTTTTCACTAAATATACATCACAAAGGTCGGTGATCATGTCACTGGGTTTGAATAACACATTAGGTAGGCACATAGGCGCGGAGTGACTGTTTGTGAGGCCCTTTCCTTGGTAAAAAGTTCTTTTTGTATATGTGTAAATTTATTTATTTACTTTTATAGTATTGTTATTTAGTAATATTGATAATGTATCTTATGTAATTTATATTATACCTATATATACGGATATATGTAGGTATTTACAGTTATGCATAATCATGAATTTATTTATATAGATTTTTCTGTGTCACATAAACCATTATACCTATTACACCTACTGTTGCACATCTCTGCATCACCCCATGGTTGACTGTTAGAGAATGCCACCCGGCATTAAGTCCGCCATCGTATGTATGTTATACAGAAGTGTAAATAAATAAATAACACACTAAATCTTTAGATTTATGTAGTCTATGCCATAACAAACTTTAAAAGTCGTTTTATAAGACTTTTTCAGTATGGTTTTTATAAAGAACATAAACTTGCGTTGCTCTGTAATCAAAGATACGAATTTTAAAGTTTATTCCTTTACAGTTTTATCTTCAATTTACAACAATTAACAATTTCTTTTCTAAATTAGCACATTGTACTTTTCCGTAAACAATTACACTTCAAAATTCTTATTTTTTTAATTACCAGAGATTATAGAGTTTACAGATAAAATATGGCATAGACTACATAAATCTAAAGAATTAGTGTGTTTTTCTTTACATGTTTAGTAAAATTAGGTACCTCGTTCGTCGATTGATCACAAGTATGAATGCCAAGCATATGCTTCGGGTTCGTATTCCGGATTGAGCAAAGTAATTGTGGAAATATTTTGTACTAGCTACTTCCGCACGGTTTCACGCGTTTTGCTCAGCTCCTATTGATCGTAGCGTGATGTTTTATAGCCTATAGCCATCCTCGATAAATACGCTATCCAACACAAAAAGAATTATTCAAATCAGACTTGTAGTTACGGAGATTAGCGCGTTCAAACAAACAAACAAAAAAACAAACTCTTCCGCTTTATAGAATAGTATAAGATTTGTCATTTTTTTTTGTTGATAGCCGGTACAACCAACAGTTCTGCCTTTAAAGTGAACCGTAATACATACACTGGGCAAAATTAATTAGTTTACTGTCACCGCGAATTTAATTAATGTTTTAGATACTCGATAATTAGTGTGGGAGAGCCATGCTTCGGCACGAATGGGCCGGCTCGACCGGAGTGATACCACGACCTCACAGAAAACCGACGTGAAACAATGCTTGCGTTGTGTTTCGTCGTGTGAGTGAGGTTACTGGAGGCCCAATTAAACCCCCCCCCCCCTCTTTCCTAATCCGTAAAAACTCCAAAAATCCTCAAAATCCTAATCCCTAAAGGCCGGTAACGCACTTGTAACGCCTCTGGTGTTCCAGGTGACCCTGGGCGATGCCAATTGCTTATCAGGTGATCCGTCTGTGCGTTTACCGGCTTATGCCATAAAAAATACGAACTTAGGTAATCGAATTTCACCTACTGCTCTACGACTGCTCAAAAGCACAATAAGTTACCGTGGCTCAGCTCGACATGTGTAGTCAGTAAGACTTTAATACTCCCCCTCACGCCTTACGCAGAGCGGGGATTATCATTAGATAATCCCCCCTCCTCCCCTTAAACAACGGCTTTATAATAAACTAGCTTTTACCCGCGGCTTCGCTCGCTTCACAAAAGGATAAAAAGCCAATGTGACATATTATAACAAAACACACAGCGCCATCTATACCAATACTTTGGTTTTCCCTCGGGAATATCAAATTTTTCCGGGATAAAAAGTACCCTATTATTTAATCCGGACTTCTAACTATACATCTGCAAAAATTCAAAGCAATCGGTTTAGTAGTTATGGCGTGAAAGCGGAACAAACAAACAAACAAACAAACTCACTTTCCGATTTATAATATTAGTAAGGATAATAACAAACCAATATTATGATAACCTCCAGGTCTCCAAGAACCATGAGTGAAACAGAAGCCTTAGATCCTATACAGGAGTTGGAGCTACAGTTCATTGCTCGCCAGAAACCGATGCATGAAGCGACCGCTCGAGGAAATTCAGCCATACAGCAGTTCTATAATGGCCAGAATGTGTTCGTGACGGGAGGCTCTGGTTTCTTGGGAAAGCAGCTCATTGAGAAGCTCTTCAGGTAACCCAGACTGTATTAAATTTGTTGTCCTCAAGGTTATTTTCTTTTTCAAAGTCAAAAGTCAAAGTCAAAATCATTTATTTCAATTAGGCCAGAATGGCACTTTTGAACGTCAACAAAAAGAAAATTAAAAGTGAAGCTATTTGCTCATTCCAAGGTGTAGATTCCTATGGAGAAGAACGAGCAAGAAACTCCATAGGTTACTCTTTTTCAATCAGGTTCACGGTTCCGTCTCCTTGACTAAATATTGGTGTTACATTGTTCTTACATAATAGGGTAGTATCCTAATTTTTATTTTAATGTCGTTGGTAGATTATTTTAAATCATTAGACACGTATTTTTTATTTTCTTACAGATACTAATACTTTCGACGATATATTGATTTGAAATGTCGCGTGACGTCACTTCTATGTACATTTTATACGTAGAAATGACGTTTTAGCCCCCACTCCTAAACTTTGATTCGTTTTATCTAAGTATTGTTTTATTATACGACAAAATAAAAAAATACGTGTCGAATATTTTTTCATTACCTAACGTACGGACTAATTAGATTTTTAATTTTCATACCCTGTCATCATCCCTATTGAACTCAACGAAACAATGTAACCAAGAATTGTATTGTGAATCTGATAGAAAAAGAGTAACCTATGGAGTTTCTTGCTCGTTCTTCTTCATAGGAATCTACACTTTGTAACCAGCAAATAGCTTCACTAGAGGACTGACCTACAGACTGACATTTTTTTCTTATTATTTAATATTTAAATATTTTCTTTTGACGTTCAAAAGTGCCTTATTGGTCTACTGTCCTCGAAGGGGTAGGCAGAGGTGCATATTACGGCACTTAATGCCACTGTACAATGTAACACCCACTTTTCACTATTTATGTTATGAGTCCCATGTAATAGGAGTTGAGCCTCTTGCCATTTATCGGGCATAATTCCAGACTCCGCGCTACTACTGAGATTTTTTGAAATAACCCAGTAATACTTTGCCCGATCTGAGACCCCTTGCCCGGCAGTCGCACTTGAGACCATTCGGCCAACGAGGCAGTCGCATGACTTTTCTTTTCGTTTTCGTGCGTTTATAAACATACAAATATATAACAAATAAATAGCCGTATGGCTATATTTACATCTAGGTATTTGCCTTTTTGTATGGGATAAGGGTAATCGAGCTGACGGATCACCTGATGGTAAGCAATCGGCGCCGACCTTTTGGGAATATTAAAGATTATTTTTTATATTTGATGGGCTGACGTTTGTCCACTATCTCGCCTGGTGGTGCACGATGATGCGGTCTACGATACAGCACGTCGTCCCATAAGCAACCTATTCACTCGGGCCTTGAAGACTCCCAGATTTGGAAGATTGGAGAGGGGTGGAATTGGACCTACACTACCTTCATTCACACGGCTACACACAACGCTGTGGTAGTGTCACGCCGGTGTACTGTGAGGCCGTGGTATCACGCCGGTAGAACTGACATACTCGTACCTAAACATGACTCCTCCAATTTTTTTTGGCTCTTATTTATTTATGCTCTATTTGTTTAATTCCAGAGCAACGAATGTATCGAAAGTCTTCGTTTTATTAAGGCCTAAGAAGGGGAAGGCCGTTGAACTGAGAATGAATGAATTACTACAGGATCCTGTAAGTAGTGATTTTTATGGTACTATGTAGCTGACCTTTTTTTTTTAAATATAGCCCCACACTAGGATTTTCTCCTGTGTCGTGGGTGCGTTTACAAACATACAAGTTCACATACATGTACACCTTCGACAATGTGTGGATAACACAAAGATAATTGAACCCACTACACATTGCACACCAACCGTCCAGTTACGCTGGAATGTTTGAAGCTGTCAGCTGAACTAATCATCATCATCAACAGCCTATAAGTTGACCAAAGGCCTCTTCTCACACGGAGAAGGTTTGAGCATTAATAGGGTAGATGACTAATTTATATTTTAATGTCCGTCTGGTAGATTATTTTAAATCATTAGACACGTATTTTCTTACAGAAACGAATACTTTCGACGATATATTGATTTGAAATGTCGCGTGGCGTCACTTCTATGAACATTTTATACGTAGAAATGATGTTTTAGCCCTTACTCCTTTTGATTCGTTATATCTAAGTATCATTTTATTATACAACAAAACAAAAAAATACGTGTCTAATATTTTTTAATTACCTAACTGACGGACTAAATAGATTTTTGATTTTCATACCCTGTCATCATCCCTATTACCACGCTTGCTCAATGCAGGTTGACAATTACAAAGTTATAATTAGAAACTATAAGCCCAGGTTTCCTCACGATGTTTTTCCTTTACCGTTTGTCAGTGGTGTCTAGATAATCTTAGAAAGTACATATAACTTGGAAAAAGTCACATTAGTACCTGCCGTTGGTAGGTTTCGAGCTGGCTTCCTGAACCTCCGGGCCACCATGACATAGCTGAAGGAATACATATGAACTTAATGGGCTTGAAACTTAATTTGACTGAATTTTAGTGTTACATTGTTCTCGCACAATTCAAACAGCAAACTATGTAACTAGTAAATTGTATTGTGAACTTGATTGAAAAAGAGTAACCTATGGAGTTTCTTGCTCGTTCTTCTCCATAGGAATCTACACCTTGGAATGACCAAATAGCTTCACTTCTACATTTTAATGACTGCCTCGTTGGCCGAGTGGTCGCAAGTGCGACTGCCAGGCAAGGGGTCTCGGATTCGATTCCCGGGTCGGGCAAAGTACTACTAAGTATTTTATAAATTCTCAATAGTAGCACGGAGTCTGGAATTGTGCCCGGTATATGGCAATAGGCTCACCCCCTATTACATGGGACTCATAACATAAATAGTGAAAAGTGGCTGTTACATTGTACAGTTGCATAATGTACACCTTTGCCTACCCCTTCGGGGATAAAAGGCGTGATGTTAATGTTGTGTTTAATTTTTTTGTTAACCTTCAGAAGTGCCTTTCTGGTCTAATTGAAATAAATGATTTTGACTTTGACTTTGAATCATAATGTAATCTAATAATTCTGTCACAGGTTTTCGACTGGGTCAAAGAACATCGGCCTAAAGTATTGAACAAGATCGTGCCAGTGGCGGGGGATGTCGCCGAAATTAAGCTCGGCATAAGCGACAAGGATTGGAAAACACTTACAGAAGAGGTATTTTAATCATTGATACTTTTAGCTAGCGACAGCAATAGGCACACCCCCTATTACATGGGAATGGGACTCATAACATAAATAGTGAAAAGTGGGTGTTACATTGTACAGTGGCATATTGTGCACCACTGCGTACCATTTCGGGGATAAAAGGCGTGATATTATGTTATGTTTATGTGCCAAGTAGAAAATAGTTGTCACCACCGCTACTATTCCCGCGGGTGTCGTATACCCGACTTAGGGACTACCGGACAGAGACCGTGCAGCAGCGCTCTCTGATAAACCTGAACCTTTGAATTTGTTTCGGCATTTCTTCTCAGAGTAGTCAGTTAGGAAATGTCGACCTCATCGTTCGCTTGATAAAATTGACGTGTAAAAGTGCTGCCTTGTAGCCTATTTGCAGAAATAAATGGGGATGATGACAGGGTATGAAAATCAAAAATCTAATTAGTCCGTCAGTTAGGTAATTAAAAAATATTAGACACGTATTTTTTTGTTTTGTTGTATAATAAAATGATACTTAGATATAACGAATCAAAAGGAGTGGGGGCTAAAACGTCGATTCTACGTATAAAATGTACATAGAAGTGACGTCACGCGACATTTCAAATCAATATATCTTCGAAACTATTCATTTCCGTAAGAAAATAAAAAATACGTGTCTAATGATTTTAAATAATCTACCAGACGGACATTAAAATAAAAATTAGTCGTCTACCCTATTCACTTGTTTCACCATATTTACAGGTGAACATAATATTCCACATGGCAGCCACGACTAGATTTGATGAGACGCTTCGTGTAGCCACAATGATCAACGTACGAGGTGCGAAGGAAGCTCTGGTTCTTGGCAAGGCATGCAAGCAATTGAAGTGAGTTTCTTTCTTTATTTAATCTGAACATTTTCGATCATAGTCAACAAAAATATCTGTTTAGCACACTACTATAACTATAATGTATTTAAAATTAATCATTAACAACACTACCATAACTACCTATATTATATATATTAATATTCGGAATCACCGAATTTTTCTCCGTCGAATATATAATTATAATAACTCAATATCGCCCAAAATGTCGCTTAAACCAAATAGTCCGTTACCCCTCGATATGTATTTAAAATTAACCATTAACAACACTACCATAACTATATGTATTTAAAATTAATCATAACCATTATCATAGTAAATAGTAATTTAAATATAGAAGATCCAACAGTCAAACTATTTATATATAGTTTTTTTAGACATGGCGTTAGATTATAATATAAGGCATACCATGCACCTTTATTATTAATAAATAAATAATAAACTAGTGACTACCTCGTTGGCCGAGTGGTCGCAAGTGCGACTGCCGGGCAAGGGGACTCGGGTTCGATTCTCGGGTCGGGCAAAGTATTACTGGGTTTTAAACAATTCTCAGTAGTAGCACGGAGTCTGGAATTGTGCCCGGTATACGGCAATAGACTCACCCCCTATTATATGGGACTCATAACATAAATAGTGAAAAGTGGGTGTTACATGGAAAGTGTGACAGGGATATTGAAAGGAGAGTGAAAGCGGGAAATAGTGTTAATGTTGCTTTACACTCTGTAATGTCGAGTAAAATAATATCCAGCAAAGCTCGACTTGCTGTAATGCAGTGTGTATTGACACCAACGCTTATGTATGGTAGTGAATCATGGGTGTGGCAGAAGAAGCGTGAAAGCAGGATTAATGCGGTGGAAATGAGAGCCCTGAGAAGTATGTGTGGACTAAAATTGAGTGATCGAGTGAAAATAGTGTTATTAGAGAGAGGTGTGGATTGAAAGATGATGTAGTGACAAGGATTGAAAAGGGAATGTTACGCTGGTTTGGACATGTAGAAAGGATGGATGAAAGTAGAGTAACGAAAGGAGTATACAGAGTGGATATGAATGGGGCCGTCGGTAGAGGGCGCCCTAGACGGACATATAGTGACCAAATTGGCGATATATTAAAGAAGGGCCAAATTAAAAATACCCTTAACCGACGAGTATGCATGAAAAGATTAATGACTGTTGATGAAACGAAAGAGGTATGTAGGAATCGTAGTAATTGGCGTTCCATAGTGTCTGCCTACCCCCATGGGAGACAGGCGTGAAGTTATGTATGTATGTGTATGTATGGGTGTTACATTGTACAGTTACAGTTACATTGTACAGTCTTTGTTATTAATATTCGCAGGTCCTACGTGCACGTGTCTACAGCATACTCCTACGCCTGCGACAACCTCATCGATACAGAGGTCTTGGAAGATTTTTACAAATCACCAATCGATCCTGATACTCTGATCAAAATGACTGAGACTGTTGACGAAGATAGATTGAACAGTATTACTCCTAGGTAAGATTCGAAATTGTTTAAATCACTGTCTTGTTGTGATGATACATATGAGTCACCACCGCTACTCTTCCCACGGGTGTGGTATACCAGACTAAGGGTAACATTTGACAGAGATCGGGCAATAAATCCAATGCCGAGTATTTTTTTATGGGATAAGCCGGTAAACGAGCTGACGGATCACCTGATGGTAAGCAATCGGCGTCGCCCATGGACACATGGAACATCAGAGGTGTTACGACTGCGTTACCGGCCTTTTGGGATTAGGAGTTTGAGGATTATTGGAGAGTCAGGGGTTGGGGAAAGGGGGGGGGAGAGGGGTAATTGGGCCTCCGGTAACCTCACTCACATGACGAAACAACGCAAGCGTTGCTTCACGTCGGTTTTCTGTGAGGCCGTGGTATCACTCCGGTCGAGCCGGCCCATTCGTGCCGAAGGGGTATGGGGCCTCTGATTCCCAGGTCTATGAGGATTTTTTGATTATTTCCCAGTTATACCTCGGTTTAATAACAGTTTCAACACCTGTTGCAAATGAGCAAATAGCTTCACTTTAAAATTTCTATAGTTGACGTTCAAAAGTGCCTTCCGGGTCTAATTGAAAAAAATGATTTTGACTTTGACTTTGTTACAAGTAAAGAGTCCGAAATTCGATTCTTGGATCGGCAATCTGTCTATACAGATAAATAAAATTGCAAGTGTCTGTTTGTAATATTAAAACAACTGCATTTTACTACATGCGTATGAATATACATACGATACACATACCAAAATATGTAACATTTTTTACAATTTTTGTCTGTCTGTTTGTATGTTTGTACTGCCAAATCTTTGGAATGGCTGGACCGATTTTGACGGGACTTTTATTGGCAGGTAGCTAATGTATTAAGGACTAACATAGGCTATAATATATACTTATATACAAGGTGTAGTTTTAAAACCGTGGCATTTCTCGGGGGCATGTCACAGAAGTCATAAAGGTTCAATGTAAGAGAAAGTTTCCGACCAATAGTTAAAAATACGGCTATAATAAATCGTTTCAGTTCGACAGTATTTCAGAATAAGCAACAGCAATGTTTTTTATAGGAGTTTTATGGAATTAGGAAAAATATCAATTACGTGTTTGAGTTTGTGTGTGTTAAGCCGCGTTATAAAACTAGGTACAAGTTTTTCTATACAAATTTTTCTGTAAATTACGGATTTCCGTAATTTACAGAAAAATGAAAAATATTTACCTACAATTTTTTTATTGATTCGGACTCAGAATCGATAGCGGAGTTACCTCCTAGAAAATGACGCGGCTTTAAAACAACACCTTGTATATACTTTTATTTTCGAAAATTGATTTATAAAAAAGTTATGTCCTTCTACGCGGAAGAAGTCGCGGGCAACAGCTGGTTTGTAGTAAAAGTGTATTATTGTTTGCAGTTTAATCAAGAACTGGCCAAATACTTATTCGTTTGGGAAGGCGGTCGCTGAGGAAACTGTGAAGAATATGTGTGAAGGTCTACCTCTGTGTGTGGTCAGACCAGCGATAGGTAAGGAACTACATTTAATCTATATTATTATATATCTTTATCCTAAACGGCTGAACTAATTTTAATGAATTTTTGTTTATGCATTCAAGTGGATATGCAGGACAACGTCTGTTGGGTCCGCTAGTAGACTTATGTATTTATTTGTTTGTGTAGGACAGCCAATAGAAAATATCGGTCCCAGGTTGGGCGCCATATTTTTACTTACCAATGGGTACTCGTTGTTGCTAGTCTTCATATTTATAATTCTTCTGTGAGTGTGTATGTCACTGAACTTCTCTCAAACGACTGGACCGATTTTGATGAAATTTGTTTGTGTGTGTTCAAGGGGATCTGGGAATGGTTTAGATTCACATATCAGCCCGGTAGATGGCGCTGCAGTCGGTGTCTAGATTAGTTATCCTAAACGACTGAACTAATTTGAATGAATTTTTGTTGATACATTCAAGTGGATATGCAGGACAACGTCTGTTGGGTCCGCTAGTATATATATATATAAATGAAACGTTTCCCGTTGTCAAGCCATAACTTGAGAACGGCTAGACCGATTTGGCTGATCTTTTTTTTTGTTGTGTTTTTATCGTCAGGAGAAGGTTCTTATGATAGAAAAAAGTACTGAAAATCTTACGGGAATAGGAGAAACAAGATTGCGCGTACGAAGTCGCGGGCAGAAGCTAGTATTATAATGGCATCTTACCTCATGTCAATGATGACGATTTTTTTCTAAGTTAGTTTTTCTTTTTAACTTAACGCAGCAATCATTAGCAAATTGACAAATGCCCAACTAGTCAAATTCAATACTTTTTTCGAACTGTCAAAATCGACAGTTATTTATGAATTTTGTACGAGATTGTGTATTGTGACGTCACGTTTTTTTAGTGCCAAACAGCATAGGTACTTATTTCTTAAAACGTTTGCTAGAAATAATACTAAAATCAACTAATAAAAATGTGATTATTTTTTAATATTTTATTGAATTGAACAGTCGGAATAATTTATTTTTGATAAAAGCAAGTACCAAATTGTGTCTAACCATGTTTTTTATATTTCGCAGTTATAAGTGCTGTGAAGGAGCCAAGTCCGGGCTGGTTAGACATGTCCAATGTTTACGGAGCTAGCGGTGTAAGTATATTATCACACTAGAACAATATTTATGACTGCCTCATTGGCCGAGTGGTCGCAATTGCGACTGCCGGGCAAGGGGTCTCGGGTTCGATTCCCGGGTCGGGCAAAGTATTACTGGGGTTTTTCAAAAAAAAAACTCAGTAGTAGCACGGAGTCTGGAAATGTGCCCGGTATATGGCAATAGGCTCACCCCCTATTACATGGGACTCATTACATAAAAATAGTGAAAAGTGGGTGTTACATTGTACAGTGGCATAATGAGCACCTCTGCCTACCCCTTCGGGGATAAAAGGCGTGATGTTATGTAACAATATTTTTTTGAGGGGAAATATCATTCAAGGTCTTAAAAGACTGCACGATTGGTGCGGTGGCTGGGCAACCGGCTGCAGTGCAACGTGTCGCGGGTTCGATTCCCGCACGGAACAACACTTTGTGTGATCCACAAATTGTTGTTTTGTGTCTGGGTGTCATTGTGTATGTGAACTTGTATGTTTGTAAACGCACACACGACACAGGAGAAAATCCTAATGTGGGGCAATGTTTGATTTTAAAAAAGAAAAAAAAAGAAAGAAAAAGGTCTTCTCCCGCCTTGGGTTAAGCTAGAGAGAGTGTCAGACTCTTACTGACTAAAAACCACCCCGTTCCTTCTCCTGCACTTCGAGCTGGAGCCCCGGTTACCCGTTAGGTTCTCGGCGACTAAGAAATAAAAACATATCATCTTTCCAGATTATATTAGGTCCGGGTATAGGCCTAATGCACTCGTTTATGGCTCGAGATGACATTCACATCGGTTTGGTCCCAGTAGACTACGTCAACAACGCCATCCTGGCCGCCGCCTGGGAGACTGCCAGGCGAGTGGCTGCAGGGCACACGACGCCCAAGATATACACCGTCACTGCTTCTACGAGGAATCCTACAGAATGGGGTAAGTTCTTTTCGAAGGAAGGATGTATTATATTGTTTTGTATTGTATTGTATTGGGTATACTTGAACAGTGTATCAGTGAATTAATGTAGTTGTGTCACATAAGTTTTGTCGTTATGAGATCAGTATTTTAGCAATAATTTTAATTGTAATTTGCTTTAAGAAATGTGTTTTTCTTCTCTCTTTTTGTACTACTGGTGTTATTAGTTTTAAGGTTTGATTCACACACAATGTAAATTGTTTTTGAAATAAAGAAAATAAATAAGGAGTTGATAGATCACCTGATGGTAAGCAATCGACGCCTCTCTCAAGGGGCCGTCCATATATTACGTCATACGTTGCGGTCGTGGGAGGGGGGCGACGTATTGTGACTAGGGGGTGGGAGGGAGCCTAAACTTTGTGACGTCACATTTCTTTAACTATTATAATCTGGGTTAAAGCACGGAATTTAAACTATTTTACTTTTAACATTACCTATATTTAGACTATCACTGCCCATCCCCCAAACGTACAGGTAATTTCAGCCCGCCCAATTTAAGTCTGAATAGAATAATGACTGCACGGTTGGCGCGGTGGCTGGGCAACTAGCTGCCACGCAACGTGTCGCGGGTTCGATTCTCGCATGGAACAACTCTGTGTGATCCACTGATTGTTGTTTTCTGGGTCTGTGTGTCATGTGTATGTGATACTGTACTGTATGTGATTTGTAAACGCACCCACGATACAGGACAAAATCCTAAGAGAGAGGCAAAGTTTTTTTAAAAAAGGAACAAAAGAAAAAATGAAATGAGTATTATATTTTTTAAAGAGAAATAAGATAAAAAGTAATAACATAATAAAGAATACAGAATAAAGAATACAGAATAATAACTACAAAATAAATAAAGTTATAATATAGGATACTTCTTAGCCCGATATCCTATAGGATCATCCTATAAGACGTAGGTACTAGAGGGAGCGAGCAAGAGAGAGCGAGCAAGATAGAGAGAGAGAGAGAGAGAGAGAGAGATGGCAAAAAGTAACTTTTCTTTTTTTCTTCAGGCTACTTAGTACACGTGATGACAAAAGAAATTAGGAAAGACTACTCTACGCCCGCAGCAGTAGGGTGGGGTTTCGTTTGGCAGACGCAATATCCATTGGTATTCCTCATCTATTCATGGATTTTGCACCTTATACCTGGACATATAATTGATGGAATTTTCGCTTTACTTGGCAAGGAAAGAAGGTACAAATTTGAACAAATATTTTGTTTTTTTTTTATAATGGAATTAGGTTAGCGTTTGACCACTATCTCGCCTGGTGGTGCACGATGATGCGGTCTACGATGGAGCACGTCATCCCATAAGCAACCTATTCACTCGGGCCTTGAAGGCTTCCTTCAGGAAACTCAGACTTCATAGGCTACTGTGCAGATTTTAATCAAATTGGACAAAAGGATAGATTTATAGTTCGAAATAAGACATAGTTTTAAAAATCTGCTAATTGTAGACAATTTATCATCGTCATCAATAGCCTATAAGTGCCCACTGCTGACCAGAAGCCTCTTCTCTGAGTGAAGGTTTGAGCATTAATCACCATGCTTGCTTAATGCCGGTTGGCGATATCAAAGTCATAATTGGAAATTATAAGCCCAGGTTTCCTTACGATGTTTTCCTTCACCGTTTGTCAGCGGTGTCTAGATAATCTTAGAAAGTACATATAACTCGGAAAAAGTCACATTGGTACTTGCCGTTGGTAGGTTTCGAATTCTCATGCATGAGAAGCGGGCGTCATATACCTCCGGACCACGACGGCTATTTATTAACTAACGACTGTTTTTTTTTTGCCTGCCTCGTTTGCCCAGTGGTCACAAGTGCGTCTCCTTCTGCGAAGCATCTCCTTCTGCGACGCAGTCATGTCGCAGAAGGAGGCGTCGGAGCGCGAGAGGGAGGACGACCCCTTCTCGCATCCGACGCGAAGACGGCGAACGGGACGGAGGAGGCGCGGGTATGCCCGCCTTCTTCCTCCTCCCTAGTAGCTAGTGGGGCAGGGGGCGGCCGGTCGGAGCAACCGGTCGCCCACGTCGCAGCGCCCCGAGAGGGGGCGGCATCCGCGGTGTGCGCGGGCGCCGCTCGCAGGAGAAGGAGCCCGGCGTTTCGTCATGCCGGGCTGGCGCAGGGCGGGTCGCGAACAAAGTGCGAAAGTACAGTTCTTGTGGCCCGCCCTCATGCGTGAGTGGCACACCCCGGGGTTTTTAGTGGGTTCGAGTCCCACATAACCCGGCCTCGGCCCCGCGAGGCCGGGTATGCACGGCATTTTCCACGGGCGAAAAAAAAAAAAAAAAAAGTGGTCGCAAGTGCGACTGCCGGGCAAGGGGTCTCGGGTTCGATTCCCGGGTCGGGCAAAGTTTTACTGGGTTTTTAAAAATCTCAGTAGTAGCACGGAGTCTGGAAATGTGCCCAGTATATGGCAATAGGCTCACCCCCTATTACATGGGACTCGTAACATAAATAGTGAAAAGTGGGTGTTACATTGCACAGTGGCATTAAGTGCCGAAATGTTCACCTCTGCCTACCCCTTCGGGGATAAAAAGGCGTGATGTTATGGTATGTTATGTTTTTTTTCTTCTTTCAGGTTCGTGAAAATATATAAAAAGATGTACAATATGTGTTCAGCGCTATCCTATTTTACCACAAACCAGTGGAGATTCGTAGATGACAACACTGCTTCGTTATATGACAGTCTATCGCCCATAGACAAAGAAATTTTTGACTTTGACATTTGTAAAATAAATTGGCGGGAATACATGTACATTTGGTCTATAGGGTTACGAAAATTCATAATCAAAGATGGCTTGAAAGGCACAATTTATGCTAGAAAAAAGCAGATTGTTTTCAAAATATTAACTTTTATAATTATGCCTCTGTATCTATTCGCTTTGTATAAAGTTTTTAGCTTTTTCGTTGTAACTTCGTTATACATTTTAGGTTATGTTTTGCATGCGTTAGGTTTGTAGAATATATTTGTAAATTATAAGTAATAAATTAATTTTAATGGTATTTCTTGTTTACTTGCAACCTGAATCATTAATGTCGGAATACCGAAACGCTACTCAATTTAAAGTCGTGCTTAAGTATAGTTCTATCTCTACAAATTATTTGTAAAATGACAGAGATGGCACGATATTTGAGCACGACTTAAAATTGAGTAACGTTTCAGTATTCCGGCATAAGTCATTAATCTTGGTCCTGTAACTCAAAAGCCTTATGCCCGATTTCGCTTATCCAACCAACCCCTTTTTTGGGATAATCATCTAATGTCTCTTTCCGCCTTAGGTGAGGCGAGAGTGTCAGACTCTTACTGAAAAGGCATCGTACACAAAACTGCTATGCAAATTCGCAACGCAGAAAATTACGATGCGAATTGCTGCGATGGGATTTCGTGCATGCAAATGCATCAATATATATAATTATGTATACTATATATATATATTTTTTTTGTCTTTGTCTAATCATACAACGTTGCTACCATCCGTGCGTCACTGCATGGGTGCCCACTGAAAATCAGTACTGGGTGACTTGTATGCCTGGCTTATACTGAGTGAATGACCCTTTTAGCATAGGCATGTTGTCAGCGTCTCCTTTGTAATTCTTCTGTTTCAATTTTTCAACTCTTATATTTTTATTACTTCTGTCACATCTTGATTGTCTTTTTTTTATTTTTTATTTATGCTGCATCGTGCCTGGTGCTAAATAAATGTTCTTTCTTTCTTTCTTTCTTATTTCTTTCAAATTCGCAACACAGAAAATTACGATGCGAATTGCTGCGATGCGATTTCGTGCGACAAGGCGTCTCCCAGGGTGACCATTCCTTCGACGACCGTCAACCGTACTAAACGTATTTTAAATTGAAAACTAGGTCGTGACATGGATCGTAAAAATAAGTGTGCACTTCTGTTATTGCTTAGGAGATACAGGAAAAAGAAACAAAGAAGATTTTGGGAAGATAAGATTTTGATGCGCGATGCGAATCAATTCGCAAGTTCTTGCTATGCGTAGAGGGAGCTCGCACATTTTTGCGATGCGACGCAGTTTTGTGTACGACCCCTGAACACCACCCCGTTCCTACTCCTGCATAGAGCCGGGGCCGCGGTAACCCGCCAGGTAATCCGCAGTTCTGGAGACTACTAGCACTAATACTATAAAACAATGATAGTAACAAACAGAAGAAAAGTTCATATACGTAGGTAGGCAGATATTGTTCATAAGTGAATATTATTCCGTTACCGGTGTCTGACTGACAGACAATTCAACTGTAATTATACTTTGGGGCATATAAATGGAGCCAGTAGTTCGTCATATAGACTAATTAGTCTCCTGCCACTGCTTGGGAAATTGTTCGAGAAAGTTATTCTACATAGGATGCAACCATACCTCGTTGGTCGAGTATTCGCAACTGCGACTGCCGAGCAAGGGGCCTCGGGTTTGATACCCGGGTCGGGTTTTTTCAAAATTCTTACCAGTAACACGGAGTCTGGAAATATGCCCGGTAAATGGCAATAGGCTCGCCCCTATTACATGGGACTCAACATAAATAGTGAAAAGTTGGTGTTACTTTATACAGTGGCAATAAGTGCCGTAATGTACATCCCTGCCCCTTTGGGGATAAAAAGCGTGATGTTATGTTATGATGCAACCATACCTATGTCCTATTCTCCCTGGGCACCTATTTGGGTTCGGGCAAAATCATGGAACTATTGAGCAGGTTCACAGGTTAGTGGATACAATCGGATACACATTGGAGAGCAAGAAATACTGTTCGGCTGTATTTCTGAATCTTAGTCAGGCTTTTGATAGAGACTGGCATAACGGTCTTCTGTTTAAAATAAAAAACACCTGCCTCGCTCCTACTTTTTACTGAAAACCTACCTAGATAAAAGTTGAAAAAACGTTAAGTTAAACGACATTACATCAGATTTCTTTGAGATCAAATCTGGAGTACCCCAGGTGTGCATTCTGGGACCCGTATTGTATCTCATCTTCACTGCTGACGTCCCCATCGATGACAAAACTTGTATTGCTACTTACGCGGGTGATACTGCAATAATGTCGGTGAATCGCAAATCAATAACTGCATCAGCTAACCTTTAACACGTAACTGCGGTCGAAAACTGGCTGAATACATGGAGAATTAATGCAAATTGGTCCACGTTACTTTTACCCTTAGAAAAGGCGACTGTCCCCCTATTATATTGAACGGCGAACTAATTCCTCATGATGTTACTGTGAAATACCTTGGCATGCACTTGGATAGGAGAATGACATGGCAGAAACATATATGGAGCAAGAGTAAAAAAACTAGATGCAAAGATTCGTTCTAGGTATTGGCTGATTGGTAAAAAATCCCAGATAAACAACGAAAGTAAAATGGCAGTTTACAAAACCATTTTAAAGCCACATTGGACATATGGTATTGAGCTTTGGGGAACGGCATGCAATAGTAACATTGAAGTATTGGAAAGATTTCAGACTAAAGCTCCATGTTCAATGTTCTAAAATGCATTCATAATAAATATATACTGCTCGACCTGCGTCTTAAGACTTTGAAACAAAAAATCACTGCGCGTAGCAAAAATTGCTAACAAAAATTAACAACACATGTTAATTCCTAACTGCTACACTAACGGGTCCTAGAAGTAGGTACAATTTACTCAAGACTGAGAAGGAACAGCGATCCAAATCTTACAAACCGAACCTTAATCCCTATAGAACCGTGAGAGTGGTCAATGGACGACACGGTCGTGCTCTTCGAAATAAATACCCAGACATAGTACAAACAAAAGAATGGCTAAATGTTTATAACAGACTAGCTTTTACCCGCGGCTTCGCTCGCGTCACAAAAGGATAAAAAGCCAATGTGACATATACCAATACACACAGCGCCATCTATACCAATATTTTTGTTTTCCCTCGGGAAAATCAAATTTTTCAGGGATAAAAAGTACCCTATTATTTAATCCGGACTTCTAACTTTACGTCTGCAAAATTTCAAAGCAATCGGTTTAGTAGTTACGGCGTTAAAGTGGAACAAACAAACAAACAAACTCGCTTTTCGATTTATAATATAAGTAAGGAGTAAGGATTGCTGTGTTAAGTAAGAAAATTGGTAACGTATGTCGTATAAAATTTAATTTAGTTAGCTTTAAAATGAGAAAATTTTGTGGTTAAAGGAATATTTTTATAAAGTTATAGAAGGTTCGATAAAATAAAAAAGAATAATACGCTAGTGGCTACGTTTCTTTGCTCCTAAGTTCCAGTGTAGGTACCTACTGCTCGTAGCCAGCACAAGAGGAGTGTAGGGGCTCGCTAAGACAGACTACTCAAAAATCATAAAGAAAAGAAATCTACTAATATTATACGAATGTTTTATTAATATGCTGCCTCGTTGGCGTCTCGGGTTCGATTCGGGTCGGTCAAAGTATTACTGGGTTTTTAAAAAATTCTCAGTGGTAGCACGGAGTCTGGAATTGTGCTTGGTATATGGTAATAGGATCACCCCCTACTACATGGGACTCATAACATAAATAGTGAAAAGTGGGTTTTACATTGTACAGTGGCACAATGTACAGCTCAGCCTAAAAGGCGTGATGTTATGTTTACGTTTTTTTTTATATATTTGATGGACCGACGTTTGACCACTATATCGCCTGGTAGTGCACGATGATGCGGTCGTCCCATAAGCAACCTTTTACCTCAGGCCTTGAAGACTCCCAGCTTATACCCTTCATGAAATACATACTCTGGCAAAGAATTCCACTCCTTAGTTGTACGCACAAGGACGCTTGATGCGAAGCGCTTCGTGCGCATGGGTGGAATGTCCATCATATAAGGGTGGTGCCCTGCCGTTCGGTGCCGTACGGTGGTGAAACGGACTAGAGGGAATAAGTTTGTGCAATTCCCCCGCACACTCACTGAAATGTATCCGGTAGAAGACCGAAAGGCTTGCGACGTTACGCCTGTGTTCGAGGCTTTGATTCCGAGCCTCCACAAGCGAATTGTCATTGATGAGCCTCTTGACGCGCCTCTCGATGGATTCAAGGGCTTCCAGCTGGTATTTCGCCAAGCCATCCCAAAGATGGGAGCAGTACTCCACACACGACCGAACTTGTGTTTGGTAAAGAGTGAGCAACTGCTCCGGCGCGAAGTACCGTCTCACCCTCGACAGGACACCCAACTTTCTACCAGCCAGTTGCGCCATTGACTCAATATACGAGCCAAAGTTGAGAGTGGGCTTGTTGGAGTGGGTTGAAAGAGAGGGTACTCAGTGTTACGCCGAGAAGCTCGAGATGGTCGCCCACCGGAATGGACTCACTTCGGAGAGTAGGAGCTAATGGAAACCGACTCAGTTTTGCGGAGAATTGACACGCCTGGGTTTTATTGGCATTAAACCTGACCAAGTTGGCATCAACCCAATCGGAAACCGTCTGCAAGGACAGGTTCAGGCGTTCTATCATGGATTCTCTCAGAGACTGGATTTGAGTTGCACACATCGTTGATGAACCTCTTGCCACGCCTCTCGATGTGTTCTAACGCGTCCAGCTGATATGTGGCCGAGCTGGTTCAGTGTTTATGTGTACCTATGTATGTTTGTTATTCAATCGCCTTAACGGTAGAAGGAATTGGGATGAAAGTTGGTAGATTATGGGTCAGAATAAAACCATGGGCTTAAATTGGGTACTTGCCAACTATCAAATTCAATAAGTACTTTGTGGCAACACTAATGTGTTGACATTTTTTATGTATTCTCAAGTGCGTAGCTGCGCCTACGACCCTATAGCGTTAGCACGCCAGTCGTCTCCCAGCTTTGGTGTTAACCAGTAATATTTTGTAATATTATAGATATGTTGTGATTTCTATGAATTTTGTACGAGATTGTGTCGTCATGTTTTTTTTTTACGTCAAATATCATACTTATTTCTTAAAAAATTGCTGACAACGTACTAAAATTAAGTTGGTC